GGCCGCATTTTGGACCAGCTGGAGCCTCCGGGTGCTCCTCAAGGGGAGCCCCATGTAGAGAGCATTGCAGTAGTCCAGGCGGGAGGTGACAAGGGCATGAGTGACCGTGCGTAGGGCGTCCCGGTCCAGAAAAGGTCGCAACTGGTGAATCAGGCGAACCTGATAAAACGCCCCCCTGGTCACGGCCGCCAACTGGTCATCCAGTGTCAGCCGCGAATCCAGGAGGACACCCAAGTTGCGTACCCGATCCGAGGGAGCCAGTGTTTCGCCCCCTATAGTCAGCGATGGAATCAGCTGACTATGCCGAGGCGCCGGTAACCACAGCCACTCGGTCTTGGATGGGTTGAGCCTGAGTCTGTTCCTCCCCATCCAGACCCTCACGGCCTCCAGACACCGGGTCATCACGTCAAGAGCTTTTGTTCTCTCCTTTAATTTCCTTCTTATCGTCTATTCATTTTCCAATCAAAACTTTGGGGAGGGGGGGGAAGGGAATGGATTTATTAACAATTAATTTTAAAGACCTCATATATTCTTTTATAAACCTCACAGGTAATATTTTTTTCAAGCCCATCTAGCCCCTTAATTTTCCAGGATCCACATTCTAGTTCACCCTTTTGCTGTTTTCCCAAAAAAGTAAAGCTTTTCTTCTTAATTCTTACACTAACATTAGAGCTATTTAGGCTAATGACAACTGCAGAATTTACCAAATGTATTACTATAGATGCCTATTGTAGATAGTCAGCTTCTTAGATCTGTTTGGCAGTATCTTATACAGGCATACCTTCATTCCTAGCTTAAATCCCTTGCAATTCATGAATGCCCAATAATCAGAGTATATTCTCAAACTCAACACTTCAGCAATAGCAGTGGCAGCCTTTGTTCATTTTCAGATGCATACTACAGTATTGGTTCATGAGAAATTAAGGTGGTATTCTTGGTACTGGACAAATAGTCTGTTCTTCCAACTACTTAGTCTGGGAGATAAATCAACAGAACTTTTTTTTCTATCACACAACCCACCTGGAGCTTGACCAAGGATGCCTCCATGATCAGATGGAAATTCCTTGTAGGGATTTCAGAGTCTCTGAAATTTGTATGGCACCAAATCACATTGCTGCCTCCAAGACCTAATATTCTACTTAATTGTCTTGAACGGAGTCATGTAAAATTAAATAATAGTAAAGTCATAGCAAAAGGGAAGCTATTCACAGATGTCAATTCACTTTATCTGGCCACTGGGCCATATTTTTCTGACATATCAGAAAATTTTTCATCATCCCAGTAAAGTTAGCATCATATTATGCAGCCTCCCCAATTGAATTTGCCATGTGTGCATGTACGTAGTCATGCACCTGAACATATGTGACACCCAGGAGCAGCTTACAAAGTTCTTCATGAATTGGAAAAAAGGAATAGCTGCTTTACTGTTTTAAAGAGAGGTGCTTTATACTACTGATTTGTACAGTTCTAGTAAACAACCTGTTGCTGAGATGGGGCAGAGGTGGTGGTTCAAGAAGATCAGCAGCACAAGACACAAGGAGTATTTACACATTTTAAGAGACTGCTGTTGCCTTTTTCTTTAAAGATTTTTTTTCTACATGACAGCCAGTGTTTGCTATGTGTAACCTTTAGAATCAGTATTTTTGTACAATAGCAGTTTCCTAGGCAGTCACTTTAAAATAGCGGAACTTCTATGAGTGCAACTGAAGAATGTTTGAAAAACGAATCAGTGTAAACACCAACATACTATGAATAGGGAGCATATTGTTTTAGGGACAGGATGAAGAAGAGAAGAGAAAACAAAGGGCTCTTTCTATGCATAGTTGGAGCCTAATACAGATGCATGGTATAGTATCAGTATACAATAAGAAATTTCCAATTAACATTGTTTTTATTTTTAAGAGGAAACAGAATTGTAATTCTATATTGTGTGTAATGTACATTGAGGTGAAATACTTGGAATAGCTGTACATCATTATCAAAGTTTGCACACTCTATCAGCTGTAATCCTCTTTGTATAATCACAGCATTATTACATCATCTGTGACAGTGTCTCTAAGGATTTCTGAATATACTATGGAAGCTACATACACATACTTGCATCAATATATTTTTGTGTGATGGCTGTAATCTGTAGAACCAAGATAGTAGATTATGATTGTTTATAACTGTTTCTGCACAAATCTTGCCTTTGCAGCAAACCTTTTTTAAAAATATACTTCCTTCGTGTCATCTTCCTTACAGATTTCTCCTTCAGTGTCTTGAGGACTTGGATGCCAACTTACGAAAATTAAATTCTCGTTTATTTGTGATTAGAGGACAGCCTGCAGATGTATTTCCTAGGCTTTTCAAGGTAAATTTGGATTATTTGAAGATGACTTGAAGCAAATGCAAAAGTATTCACAAGATTCTGGAATATATGTTCAGTGAGATAATTGCCAAACTAAAGTTTATGTGAATAGAAAAATCTTTCAGGATTTTTGGTTTTCAGCTTACTTGAATACTATGATTATACTTAAAAAGTAATCTGTGTAATATTTATTGGACATAATTTGGCCAAGATTAGTACCACAACATTGGGAATTAAAAATAAAAACCTAGTCAAATTGCTTACTTTTTAATTTTTATCTTACTTTTTCATATTATAATGTGATTAGATATAAATATTTACCATCTGTAATTTGCATTGGTGCGACGATGTGTATGCTTAATTGCATACAATCCAGTTTTATGAATATGGACATTTTAAGAGGGAAATAATAAAAATATAGTTTGGAATCTCAAGGGCATCCTATATACTGAATTATGAATGGTAAAGTCTATTCAATGCTAGGAAAGTGAGGCTAAACCTCTCTAGGGGTTATTAAATCACTCTACATTTTAATATAATATTTATTTTATGGGGTTCAGTTCTGTTATATTTGAAAAAGGAGGGCTAAGGTCTGCTCCAGCAGAATTCTTGGCTTGTACATAGAGAATGTTTTTTTCTGCATTTGCTATTGAAAACAGCTATTTGTTTTTATGCATTCGGTTATTTTAGTATTTGTTATTCCTTCTTATTCCTTGACCTGGGACAATTGCAGTTTTGAAAATCACATTATCATTTGAAATTACAGGAATGGAATATTTCAAAACTTTCTATTGAATATGACTCTGAACCATTTGGAAAAGAGAGAGATGCAGCAATTAAGAAATTGGCCACTGAAGCAGGATTGGAAGTCATTGTACGAATATCGCATACCTTATATGACTTAGACAAGTAAGTTACCAATTTCTTAAGTGTAAAAGGGAGAAATAATGTTTTATGTAGTATGAATAGATACTACTGATAGAGGATATAAAATAATTCTGAGTCAACATTTTTTATTACAATATGTTTTGTAATATATCAATTCTTAAAATTATTTAGTAGCATAATGGATGTTTCGATGCCAATCAAATTTGGCAGTTTAATTTAAGCACTATGAAACATTTATAGTTACATATGAAACTTGTATACTGCTGATTTCAACAAATTGACTCATGGCAGTTTACAGTAAAAACATAAGAGCCATGATAAAGAGAAATAAATCATCCATGGTAACAGGGTTCAGACAAACGCAACATTAAAATGGTCAGGATAGCTTTAAAAATAAAATATTTTAAACATTGGAGATGTGAAACCAAAGCAGAACATTTGGTGATATTTGTACAATAAGGAAAATCTCTATGGAAACACTGTCTTTGATTGTTTCTTGACTGGCAAGTCTGAAGTCAATAGGGAAGCTGTTTCAGAGAACTGGCACTGTAACAGGAAAGCAACACCTCCTGGTAACAGCCACCAAATTAGGGTATCAGCAGCAGCTTCTTTCAGTGCAATCTTGCTGTTTAGGGCAATTCTAACTGGATAATGTAGTCCTGGATAAATCTAGCTGGACATGCATGCAGCATGTGCTTGCAGTATCTTAAAGCAAAAATGTATTTTCCTGGGATAGAGGTTCAGCTTGTCTGTCCTTCCTTCCTTGGACCTATTTGCCAACAATCCATTAGAAAGTACCTGGATTTACCTTTTTAAATGTTTTTTTGGGGGGGAGTGAAAAACATGGAATAGAAATAGACTGCATCTCTTCATTTTGACGATGTCATGAGAAGGACATGAGCTAAGTGTAATTCACAGGACATACAGTAGATTCACCATAGTATTCACCACAGTATTTATGCACAGAGAATATAGAAAATTATACTCAACTGCTTTTTTAGTATTTGAATGCTGGTCTGAAACTTTGTTTCTTTTAGTAATTATTTTGTAACCAATTGTTAAGTAACCTTTCTAGTGATCTGTTCATTCATTTGCTGAATAACCAAATTATTGTTCATTTTATTAATTATTTGTATTAAGATTATTGGATTTGTTATATGAGTTCTGCCCCTTAGCCTTTTCTATATTTCTAACTATTCACAATATGAAGTAAATGTCATAACATAATAAAGGTAATAAATGTACTGTAGAGTTGCATAATGAATTTACAGTTTCAGAAGTATAAACTGGCATTGAATTCTTTGTATGTAGAATTATAGAATTAAATGGAGGCCAGCCACCTCTTACTTATAAGAGATTCCAAACTCTAATAAGTAGAATGGAACCATTGGAGATGCCTGTGGAAACTATCACTGCAGAAGTCATGTCAAAATGTACCACCCCAGTTTCTGACGATCATGATGAGAAATACGGTGTTCCATCACTTGAAGAACTAGGTAATCCAAGATATATCTTCCTCATTCCTTGACCATTATTAAAAAAATTGTGTCTTCTAATATGTGGTCATAAGTAGGAGACTCTGCTTAGTTTGCTTATAGAAGATAGTAAGGTCTAATACAAGGATCTGAATGATAGTACAGGTAGTTCTCAACTTACGACCACAATTGAGCCCCAAATTTCTGTTGCTAAGCAAGACAGTTGTTAAGTGAATTTGCCCCATTTTACGACCTTTTTTGCCACAGTTAGGTGAATCACTACAGTTGTTAGTAATGTGGTTAAGTGAATCTGGCTTCCCAATTGACTGCTTGTCAGAAGGTGGCAAAAGGGGATCACATGATCCTAGGACATTGCAACTATTGCCAAGTGTCTGGATATTGATCATGTCACCTCAAGGATGCTGGAACATTCCTAAGTGTGAAAAATGATCATAAGTCACTTTTGACAGTGTCATTGTAACTTTGAATGGTCACTAAATGAATGGTTGTAACCTGTATCTTGTCATTTAAAATGTTGCTTAAAACTGTCTATAAGAAACTGATTCTGTCTAATTTATTAATGTATGCTTCTTCATAGGCAGTATTCTAGAATATCTATGTAACTTATAATTGAGTAGAGTTTCCAAATAACCATGTAGTGTAGTTCATTGAAAATATTTGCTTTATTTTGAGGAAAAAAAGAGCATGTTCCTGGTTGTTAAATTTTGAAGACTTGCTCCTAAATTGGGTGTTGATAACTCACCAAGGATTTATAATTTATAATATAACAGATTTCAGTATATCTGTCACGGCACTGAGGAACAAATCCTGAATAAATTATTCAAAGTAATCAAAACTTGCAAATTAAGTATTGGGTCCAGTTCAGTGTTTTGATAATATGTGTAACAATAGTTTAACATACTAAGGTTTTATGATTTATACAGACTGCAGCTTGACTAATAATATTTGACTAATATATTTTATTTTGGTTTCTGTACTATAGGTTTTGATACAGATGGATTGCCTTCCGCCGTTTGGCCAGGGGGAGAAACAGAAGCACTCACGAGACTGGAAAGACATTTGGAAAGAAAGGTACATTAGTCACCTTTGTTGTTTGCCTAGTATAAGGGTAATCCTTGACTGATGATCACAATTGAGACCAGAATATCAGTCATAAATTATTACGGTTGTTAAGTGAGATGCCCACATGACCACTTTGCTCAACAACTACTATCCTGGCACTCATAGTTGCAGTCATTAAGCAGTTCCTTGATGGGGGAGGGTGTGAGCTGATTATGTGTGTCCTGCAATACAATACAAAGCCATAGACACCCCAGCCCAGCCTTGCAGTGTGGCGCTCGTCAGCAGAACTGCCAGGCCTAGGCCTGAAGTAGAGCTGCCAGCCAGCTGCCACTGCTCCAGGCCTTGACTTCAGCCCTAGCACCATCACTGACAGTAGAGGCTCCAAGGCGACTTCAGGAAAAAAGACTTGGTGTGACCAGGAGCTGCATTGGATAAGCTGTGTGGGCCTTTCAGTATCAGGAAAAAACTGTCTGAAGGTAAGTGGCATGTGACAGAATCTTGGAAGTGCTGGGCAATGGGAGCAATTGTGCTGTTTTCCAAGGCTTGCACATCTTAGAAATCAATGCAAAGGAGCATTTCTAAGTGGCAGCAGTGATGGCCGTTGGCTAAGATTACTAAAAGCTCCAGGCCTATACTTCAGACCCAGGCCAGCACTATGGCTGAGTGCTGCTGTGCAGGATGGCCCAGATGCAGGGGGTTATAGGCAGGTAGGGGGTTATAAGGCCAGGCACACTGCCAAGTGCCCAAATTTTTATCATGTGACCAGAGGGGTACTTCAGTATTTATAATTTTGGGTACAGGTCATAACTCCTTTTGTTCAGTGCCATAATTTCAGACATTCAACAAATGATCATTAAGCGAGAACTATGTAGTTCATTATTTTATAGAGACATGAAAAAATTGAGCCAGAGTGCTAGTAAAACAAACTTGAAGAGTGCTATCTTCTATGTGCTTGTTGTCAAGTATTGAAATACTATAATTTTTATTGAGAAATAATTCTGAATGCTTTAATATTTGATTAGCTGTGATTTTACATATCAATATACAGTTAATTTTTTTATACTGTATAGGCCCCTGCAATTCCATCTATCTATCCTTTGTAGCCCTTGGGCTTTTAAATCAGCATAGAGTATCAAACAGAAAATTTGGGACATAGACCCCTTGAAGATACAGAAGCTCTACTTTACACTGTAGAATGAACATTTCTATAACAATTTTATTTCAGTAAAGTAGTTTTCTTAGTCTTGTGTTCAAATGCTGGAAAAAATAAAGTGCTGCAATGTAAATTTATTAAACATCTTCAATATAGGATAAATAGTAAGACTTCATATGTAAATGAGTTAAAAATGTTATGCATAAGTAATTCTCAGATTTTGAGATGCTGATACATAGCTGTTGCCAGGTTGGTTTTTAAATGCTGTTAAGAAACACATATCAACAAATAATAAATATAAATACCCCTTTCTTTCTTTTTTTCTTTTTTGTAAGGCTTGGGTAGCAAACTTTGAACGCCCTCGAATGAATGCAAATTCCCTTCTTGCAAGTCCAACAGGACTTAGTCCTTATCTACGTTTTGGCTGTTTATCTTGCCGTCTATTTTACTTCAAATTAACAGATTTGTACAAAAAGGTATGAATTGACTATATTTATCAGTAGGTATTTAAGACGCGTATTTAAAAAGTGAGTTTTTAATCACATCGTATGATTTACAGGTGAAGAAGAACAGCTCTCCCCCTCTTTCCCTCTATGGCCAATTGTTGTGGCGGGAATTCTTTTACACAGCAGCAACTAATAATCCACGATTTGATAAAATGGAAGGCAATCCCATATGTGTGCAGATTCCATGGGACAAAAATCCTGAGGCTTTGGCCAAGTGGGCAGAGGGTCGGACAGGATTCCCTTGGATTGATGCTATTATGACCCAGCTGCGTCAGGAAGGCTGGATCCATCATCTTGCCAGACATGCTGTGGCATGCTTCTTAACTCGAGGTGATCTGTGGATTAGCTGGGAGGAAGGCGTGAAGGTACAATAATCTTTTAATTAACACATTTTGGTATTGTCCCTAAGATTTGATATTCACGTTTGTTTCTAAATAATGTTAAGAAAAGTTGTATTACATAGTTAGTTTGTGGTTGATTCTTCTGCAGAACATGAGGTATGTACATCCTTTTATTATTAAAGTCTTGACATATTTGTTTCTTTAATCAAAGGGGGAAAAAGCCTACCATCCTTTATTTGCAGTTCTGTGACCAAGACTTAGTTGTGAGACAATAAATTTTGGAGTTTGCTGCAAGTGTAGTTAATGCAGAACTAGTGGGGTAAATGCATATAATTGCTGTCAACAGCAGTAAATGTTATATAATATAAAATAATTTAGCTAAGTAGCAACACCTAGTGGTGAGTCAAAAATTTATGCATTATAATGTGCATCCAGAATATTTCCTTGTTTTCTCTAATCTGTCCCACACTCAACTTTCTTTAACACATTAAAACATGTATGATAGGTGTTCAATAGAATACAAACAGGCTGATCTTGAGGATTAGATTGTCCTGTCGTATTGTGACTGATTGCTTATGCTAGTGGTTTTAAATATTATGTTTCCAGCAGTGTATTTGCATTATCTGTTTTTATAAATATGTAAGCTACCTTGAGTCTTTTCTGCAGATAAATGAGTTGTCTGCTGACTTAGCACATTTCAAAAGAATATGTATTTCTCCTCAGCTTTCTTCTCATATGATTAGACATGGACATTTTAAAAACCAGAATGCCAGCAAATTGCTACTTGAAACTGTATTCCCAGAGGGGAAAAAAATAAATACAAGGTTACATTAATTCATGGTTTGGGGTTGTTTTTTTTATAGGTATTTGAAGAATTGCTTCTTGATGCAGACTGGAGCGTGAATGCAGGCAGTTGGATGTGGCTGTCTTGTAGCTCATTTTTCCAGCAATTTTTCCATTGTTACTGCCCTGTGGGTTTTGGCAGGAGAACTGATCCTAACGGGGACTATATCAGGTAAAGAACCATTATCAATTTAAAATGCAACATTACATTGGATTATTATGATAAATCATAAAAATGATAGAAAATTTCTTTTCTTTTAATTAAGACGGTATCTACCTATACTCAGAGGTTTTCCTGCAAAGTATATATATGATCCTTGGAATGCCCCTGAGGGAGTCCAGAAAGCTGCAAAATGTATAATAGGAGTAAATTATCCGAAACCAATGGTAAATCATGCTGAAGCAAGTCGATTGAATATAGAAAGGATGAAACAAATCTACCAACAGTTATCCCGATACAGAGGATTGGGTATGATGGAAAGCTTTGATTTTACTTTTTATTTTCATGATTTTTGGCCTGAAAGTCTTAATTGCTGAAATCCTGGTATAATATTTACAATTGGCTGACTGAAGAATGAGAACCTTTTTCTTTTGCACTTTTCTCTAATTTCACCTTTTTTAAAGTTGTAACTTCTAACATTAATAAAGGGCTAATATATTAATTAAGATCACATAAGCTCTGGTCCTTTCAGGGTCAGAACATTGCAAAAAAAGAAAAAAAAGCATTGGCCTTTAATTTTAGAAACACAGTTAACTGTTATTTAGGGAGAATTTTCTGTATTTTCATGTTAAGGATCAGTTTATTATTAACATTTTTAATTACTATTTGGAGGATTGTTGTCTTCATTGTTCTGAGTGACAGTTCCAACTTTATTGATATTGAATTTAAAATACTGTCTGTATTTGCATGGGATTGATTCTTTAAAAATAATGCTCTAATTCTTATTGAAAAAATCTATTCCTTTTTTGGCTGAAATGCAAAGATATGCATTTGAAAAGAGGGCCAGAAACACAGAGAAGCCCTCAAAAGCCTGTACTTCCTTTTGAGGCCATTGCATTTTGTTTTGATTAGGCCTCCTTGCTTCAGTGCCTTCTAATGGAAATGGAAATGGAAACGGAAATGGTGGCCTAATGGGATATTCTCCAAGTGAAAATCTCCCTGGTTGTGTTGGTACAAATGGTAAGTTACTCCTATGTTAGAAAAACTAAGAAGCATACATAACACTCTGTTTGGCTGTCTACCAACATTATAATAATAAGCCAAATTTTCTTAAGTTTTAATATTATATAATACTTCAATTATGGAAATATTTATAATTAAGCACATTAAATTAATCAAATTAGAATATCTACACACAGGTGTACTGGATTAAAATGCCGAGGAATAGTTATTGTAGGGCAGTTTCAGCACATTTCTGTAGCTTGACAAATTACCAAAGAATGTGAGGGATTCAGAATGATACTACCTCTTTTTTTTCTTGACACAATGTCCATTGTTGCCAGGCCTTTAATTATAGGAAACTAGTACACAGATATTAATCCTAGCTGGCCTATTCTTTGGATTCACATTTAGGCACCAGATTGAATTGAACTAGCAAAACATTTAGTTGGTGTGCTTCAGGCACAATTCCCCAACTTCTCTGATATCTTTGGCTATTCTTTCTACCTCTTTCTTCCTCCGGAATATACTATATAACATATAAATCTCTAAAGTAATATGTAATGCATATATAAGCATGAATCCTTAAAAAAGAAAAAAAAGTGAAGGTGTGTACAGGTAGCCCTCGACTTAACAACCACAATTGAGCCCAAAATTTCTGTTGCTGAGACATCTGTTAAGTGAGTTTTGCCCCCATTTTATGACTTTCTTGCATAGTTGTTAAGTGAATCACTACAGTCATTAAGCTAGGGACACAGTTGTTAAGTAAATCTGGCTTCCCCATTGACTCTGTTGCCAGAAGTTTGCAAAAGGTGATCACATGATCCCAGGACAATGCAACCATCATAAATGTGAATCAGTTGTGAAACATCTGCATTTTGATCACGTGGCAATGGGGATGCTGCAATGGCCGTAAGTGAAAACCAGTCATATGTCACTTTCTCCAGTGCTGTTAGTAACTTTGAACAGTCACTAAATGAACTGTTGCAAGTTGAGGACTACTGTATTTCATTCTGCATCTTACAAAATGTATATTGTCAATGATAACTAATAATCTTTCTCAACTGGAAAAAAGTTTAAATTTTACTGTATATATCACATTAATGATACAGGGTTCCCCTATTATTTTGGCTTGTAGGCCCTTTGGAATTTTACAAAATAGCTGCAAAAAAGAGTCTTGTCCATCCATGTAATAACTACCACAAGGATATAATATTTATTGGAATGCTACCTGTCATGTGCTCTAGATATCTCCTCTCCTTTTCCTTTCCACTCCACTCCCCTCTCCTTTCCTCAGTATTTCTCTATTCAATATCCCAAAATGACTGAATTTTTTACAGCCATGTGAAAAAATAATACACCCATATTGTTTTTTATTTTCTAACCTACAGTATGTGAACATATCAGTATTTTCATTCAAACACTATATAAAGGTAATGTAATTGAACAAAAACATTTATAAAAAGTTGACTTTGCAATCATGTATTTAACATCAAGTTAACTGATATGCCATTTGCTTCTGTGGAAAAACTAGGCACATCCTTGGTTCTAATATCTGATATTTTCCCCTTTGGCAGAAATGTCAATAGGCCTTGTTATAACTGTTTACCAGTCTCTACTTTGCCTGAATTTTTTTTTCGCATTTATCCATGCAGAATTTTTTCAGCTGTGCATTGTTGGAAGGATTTAATGCATGGACAGCCCATTTCAGATTACCCCATAGCATCTTGAAAGGATTTAGATCCAGGCTCTGATCTGGCCATTCTAAAACCCACCTTTTTTTCCTTGGTGAATTTACTGGAATGTTTAGGGAGTTGTCATATTCATTCAGTCAGTCAGTCATTCAATGTATTTGCCGGCTGTTCTTGCCATGGGGCTGCTCTAACTGGCGTACAACAATAAAAAGGAAGAAATAAAAAGAGTGTAAACAGAAATAAAATGAGTAAAATAAAATGAAAAAGAACACAATAAGAATACATCAATGTGATAACAAAAAGATGGATGGGTGGAAAACAGAGAGCTGAACTTGCTGAGTTGGGTCAGACAAGCTGGCAGTTATTTGAAATCTTCTTCACTTGTAGATAATATTCTGGACAGTAGATTGATGTCCAAATGATTGGCAATCTTTTAAAATCCCCTCCCAGATTCATAGGCATCTTAAATCATCTTTATGCAAGCCTCAGGGAACTCTTCCAATCCAGGCATTGTGATGCCACCAGCCAGCTAAATATGTGATAACATGGGTACCTCCCAGATCCTCTCTAACAATATGGTAAACATTTGCATCTAATCTGGTACACCTGTTTTTAATTTTAGGTATTTGAGGTAGTGATAAATGTAGGGGTATACTTACTTTTTCCACATGTGAAATTTGCATTTAGATTTATTTATACAAATATAAATTGTGCATGATATTAAATATATCCCTTTTATGTAATTCTTATTTTGGAAAACAATATAGATTTGCTTTCTTTCAGGCACTCAAATGGGAACCAGTGAAGGACATACAGGGAATGTTCAAGCATGTACCCTTGGAGAAACTCATACAGGAACAAGCGGAATTCACCAGCAAGGTGGGATAACTCAAAACTGCATTCACTATTCCTTCACCTTTAAATAATAAAGTGTGATGCTCAAATCCATTTGGCAAATCAAGATATACTGATTTCAGCTATGCAGTTTCTGCATAAACATGTTTAAGGATAGTGAATAAAAATAGGAATTGCTCTGGGGGAAACCATTATATTACTAGTATAGACTAAGCAGCTAATTATACCTAAAACAGTAAAGTCCAACTGATATCAAAGGAAGTGAGGTTGGCATGACAACTACTCTTTGCTGTGAAGACCTCTAATAACAGCTCTTCATTGTTTTATGGTAACCAAGAGTAATGCTTACCAGGTAACTGAATCATTCAAAGAAATACTTGGTTTAAGATGCAGAAATAGTATGCTTAGGGCACTGTGGTTTTTATATCTAGAATTTACTTATTTTTTTGTAGAGAGCATGTTATAAATCAAGTAAAAACTAAGCTTAAGAATACAAAGTGGGAACCTTTGCTTTCCAACAATCTTAAATAAAGATACAGAATGGGGCATTATTAAGCAAGGAAACCAAAACAGGAAATTGTAGTGAATATCTTAGGGGTGCGCTCTCAGATACTTTTTGGTTTATTTTGTACTTGTAATTAGGGGTAAGGTTAGATTTCACATTCAAAGATGATATAATTTGAGAATGGTATTTGTGACAGAAAATGTGAGCTAATAAATTCAGTACAATATTTCAAACTGACAGAAAAATTAGTAATACTTAAATATTACTTATTAATACTTATTAAAACTATAACAAAAGAGTTTAATGTTGCTTTCTAAATACGTTTGTTCAGAAAGTAATGCACTTTTTTTTAATAGGTTACTCTCAAGGGAACAGTGGAATTTTACATTATGCTCATGGGGACAGTAAAAAAACACATTTAGTGCAACAAGGTATGATTTCTGTGCATTTATGATTTTGAGTTAAGTAAAAGTCAAAGACAACATTAAAGTACATGTTTGTCTTCAATTTCTAGGAAGAACATCACTTAGCATTGGAGGGTGTACTGGAAAGCGGCCAAATCCAGAAGAAGGAATTCAAAGTATTGGTCCAAAGGTCCAGCGACAGAGCAGTAATTAATGGGGTAAAACTGAGTTGTGAAGGAAATGATTGATAAACTACATTCTAGTCTCACAAAGAGAAACTAAGTGTGCCTGCTGCATTTTTGGGAGCATAACTTTCTTGGAAGAAGTGGACCAAACATCATTGCATCCTATTTGGCGGTGGCCAAGAACTCCTGTCATATAATCTTATTCTGAGTGTGACCTGTATTGTCATTTAACTACACCTAGTTTCTATTTTTCCATTAAATTGTGAATTTAATGTGTGTGTTTTTTCTTTGAATTTGCTGAGAGATAAAAACATTCACTTGAAACCTACTAGTTATTTGTGTAACATTTTGGGTAATAGGCAGTATTTATTTTTTCTTGAAATTATTTGTTAATTTTTATGTATCCCAATTTATTTTTATAGTGGGAAGTTTTCAAAAATTATTTCATCTGTTGTAATTTTCTACAGATGACACTTTCCCCTAAGCTTTTATAGTCTAAGCGGTTTAATATTTTTCCATTTTATATTCATTTTTTTCTTTTTCTTAAGATAGACTATCTAGATCAGTGGTGGCGATCCTATGGCATGGGTGCCAGAGGTGGCACTCGGAGCCCTCTCTGTGGGCACACGTGTCGTTACCCCAGTCTCGCCTCCCCCCACAACCCCCTCTTCTCCAGCAGTCCCCCTGAAGGAGAGTCGCCCCTGAGTGTGGCCCACGCGGAGCAGTGCAGCCAAGGACATGGCAGCCAGGCACTGTAGACAAGACTCTGCCCTCACACCCCATTCGTGCACAGTTGATGCTGCAGGGCGCGGGCAGAGGGCCTGACCACTATAGCGCTGCTGGGCTGCCTGGGTGATCTGGGGTGGGCCCTGGAGGTGGTGAGTGGCCTTGCGGGCAGGCGGGGCAGGAGATGGGGGGCAGAGTGGGGGCGTGGCAGGGGGTGGAGCGGAGGTGGGGCCAGTTTTTGGGCACTCGGTCTCTAAAAGGTTCGCCATCACTGATCTAGATGCATTCAGGCTAATGTATATGTAGCACATAGATTTAGCTATGTAACTTGGAATATTTTTCTCTTAGAACTTTTAAATTCTTGCATTGTTTCTTAGGTGCATTAGCAGCAGATTTACCAATCAGTTTAGAATAATTAGCCATGCATATTCCCAAACACATTTTGCTCAGAAAAAGCTTAGGTTATTCCTTCTTTCTTGAAGCTTGGGAAGGCATGTGATTCCTAAAGCATTTTGAACTAATAGTATCTTAGAAAAGATGAAGACCTTAGACTATTGAACAGCTTCATCTTTATATTTTGGATAAATGTCAAGAAAAGTTAATAAAATATGTATTGTTGAGTTTTTTTTACCGTCTGACACAATGATGGAGTAACCTATTTTCTAGGTCCTCAGCATGGTTCAGGTGCAAGATATACCTTGATGCCCACCAAGCATACTACCTTTTTTTTTTAAAGGTGGGACGGAAAGCTAGCATGTTAAAGAACATCACCTTCAGGCATAATTTCTGACTGTGCTTGATATACAAAGGCATTCTTCACCAATAAAATAATAGATGGCTACAATGCGTTGCTTTTTGGTATATGGATATTTTCTGATTACTATACCTACAGTTGTAATTAGTTTGTCAGAATGCCTGTGAAATACCACACCAATGCCAGCAGCTGACCAGGCAGGCATTCCCCCTACTCTGCAAATTTCACTGCCTTTGCAGTAAGAAGGGCATAGGTGGGGGGAGATAGGGGCAGTTAAAGTGCCCCTGCATTGAGTGCAAGTGAACTTAAATTTTGATTATGTGACTTGGGGAGGGGGACACTTTAAAATCCGTAATTTCAGTACAGGTCCTATCTCCTTTTGTTCAGTGCTGTAATAACTTTCAATGGTCACTAAATGAATTGTTGTAAGTTGAGGATTACCTGTAATGCAACATGAACCAAATATTAGTGATTTAATATGAATCAGACTTCACTGATCATTGCTGCTTCTACAAATTCAGTTTCTTTGTTTACTCCCCATTATCCAGTCAATAGCATCCACTTGTCTGTTGCTATTTAAGTTTTTTCTTTACTGTGGATGTGCTTAATCTTTGGTTTCTGTATTTGAAATATATTAGTATTTGCATTTTTAACCCCTAAAAGGTTGATTTTTTTGGGTGCTGCAAACATATAGACCTTAAAGTTTAGTTATGGAAATTAATTTGATACAGCATTGCACGAAACCAGTAAATTTTAAGTTGAAAGTTCAAGTACTTCAAGTACTTTAATGTATTTCGAGTACATTAAAGCCTTTTGAAAAACAGTTTTTTTCCTATTTATAATTGTGATAAGTTTATCCCCAATTTTTTTCCTGTGCTTAGCTTTCATAGCAAATATTCAGCTGCAGTCTTATACACACTTACATGTATGTAAATGCAGTTAAACTCGTAGGTTTGTGTGTAAATATACATAGAACTATGATATTTTTAATTCACGTGATTGTGTATGGGTTCCTTTTCATTCTTGCCTTAGTTTCCATTTAACATTCTGTTGACAAGTGTTAACTGCTTACTGAAATCCCTGTATCTAGTTCCTATGCCTGTTTTCTGCTTCTTTTTGTCTTCCAGTTCCCCCCTGCCCCCTGCCATCCTTTGGATTTCTCAATGTTAAAAGACACTATGTTTTGGAGTCTTATAGCATCTTACAATCCACTTTTACCATCTGCCAGTCAGGTATTCCAAAGAGAGTTTGTATTTTTAGTTAAAAGTATATACACTTTGCTAACTACTAGATAATCTTTCAGACTCAACAAGCATAGCAACTAGTTTCAATACTAATTAGAAAAATATATTAAAAGGTTTCTTGAATTATTTTCTAAGGGTTGATTTATTTTTGCCTCTACAGCATTGATAAAAGGGAAGGATCCACACCCTAAGTTTCAGTTTTTGTGAGAGTGCTTGTATTAAAATATGCATTTTCATACATTTATTTTCACACATTCTGAATGGTTCTAAACAAGTATGAATTTTTGGACTGTATGGTTTCTAACTGACCTTTATATGGTTTTTAAAATTTTAAATGACTTTAAGGAAAAAAATAGAGATTTGTAAATAAAACAGTTGACAAGAAGTTTAGTTGCAGTGTAAATACAAGCATTCATGATTAGTGATATTCATCTATTTTTGATATTTCATGTATGGCTTTCATAAATTCCATGGATGGATAGAAAATAGAACGTGTCTGAACTACAATGTTGGTTTTTTCACATTTTTTTTAAAACTTGGAACAGAAGTTTTGACCACTTCATGCTCCAGGCTCTTACTTTTCAAATGTTTTCTTATTTTCCAGTGTATAAAATATACTAAAGAGTTTACTTTTTGAAAACCATCTGTATATAAACCCTTTCTGCCAATATTTTTGTTAAAGTACAAAATTGTCATGAAATGTGTTCCATCCTTGTGTTTCCCACTGCCTTTGTGAAATCAGTGAGGATGCTCTGATTAATAAAAAAAAAAGTATATATACGGATTATTTCATCTATACCCCAATTTTGGAGAGTAGATTCACTGTCTTAATTGTTTTTATAAAATGAGTCCTTGTACAATGAATTTCTTTACAGCTTTTGTTATTTAAAAAAAGACGAAGGCTGTAAGCGGTGATTATGATTTGAATTTTCCATCATGGAAAAGAAGTTCAGAGCACAACACTCAGGAGAAGAACCCATGTTTATTGCAACAGTTGCAATAACAGGGTGCCTGCTTTACAAGAAAGATGGATACTGAATAATGGGAAGGCAAAGATTTATATAGACTGCGAGGAAGAAATCCTATGGATCTGATTTGCTGCCCAATTTGGGAAAGGTCCTTGTCTTTGTACCTGGGTTATTTATATTGTTAGGTAGAGTGTCCCTTTCACAAATAGCAGAGCTGGGGAAGTTTAACTCATCTATTGAGGAGGTACAATGTTGAGATAATCAGGCTGATGGATTCTCATCTTGTTACCATGCTGCTATTCTCTTACTAGAGCTCCCTTTGGCTATACTGTGAGCTAGTGAGGAAGTTTCTGTGGTTTAGATGGGATTGCAAGGAGCTTTCTGTGGGGGCAGGGAAGGTCCATCTGGATCTGATAGGACTAGGTCAGTGATGGCGAACCTTTTAGAGACCGAGTGCCCAAACTGTAACCCAAAACCCACTTATGTATCGTCGAGTGCCGGGTGGGCGTGGCCCATTGGCTGGGTGTGGCCCATTGGCTGGGCGTGGCTGCAGTGGTAACGGCAGACTGGGTGGGACTAAAAAGTTCAATCAATCAATTCCAACTTTGCAAGATTTTTTTTTTCCCACAAGAAGTTGAAACTGACTGATTGAACCTTTTTTTTTTTTGCACATGGCAGCAGAGCAAAAAGGTTTTATAAAACCCAGCTGAAGGCCTAAGACTGGGGCAATGGCGTGTGTGCCCACAGAGAGGGCTTTGAGTGCCACCTCTGGCACCCGTGCCATAGGTTCGCCATCACTGGACTAGGTAAAGAGAGGAGCTGAGTTTGATATCATTTCCAAAAGACAGGAGGAAAAAGGATGCTACCTCCATTTTGTTAAATTTATTTTCTCTACTACATTCTTGGATTAGTATTCATTCATATGAAACAGATTTCCAGACATTTGCAACAAAATCGTTCTGGTTTAATCAACAGAACTAACAACACTTTTATTTTCTTATGTGAGTATGTGAGTAACCTGCCTCCAGAAGCGGTGAATGCTCCTATACTGGAAGTTTTTAAGAAGAGACTGGACAGCTATTTGTCCGAAATGGTATAGGATTTTCTGCCTGAGCAGGGGGTTGGACTAGATGACCTTCAAGGTCCCTTCCAACTTTACTACTACTACTACTACTACTACTATTATTATTATTATTATTATTATTATTATTATTATTATTATTATTATTATTATTATTATTATTATTATTATTATTTCTTATACCATGATATAAGGAGAATCTGCTTCTAGTAGGTTGTTTGGTTAGGTAGGTTGAATGCCTGGATCCATACTGTTTTCTGAAATAAAAGTTTCACACCATGCTAATTATTCGTATTGCTTTTGTCACACACATCAATCTTAATATTTTTGCCATATTCCTTATATAATATACAATGTGACTTCTAGAGGTAAATTCCCAGCAAATGCTCTGAAGTTTATTCCACCTGTTGCTAAAATTTTCTACATTTCTTGTAGATGCCTATCTTCTATCTTCATTCTTATTCTATCATAACAAAGCCCCCTAATGCCAAAAAAA